TACTATTCGGTCCGCCTCGAAAAGCTCTACAACTTGATATATTTAGTTTCTAATTTCTAAATAGACCACCTTATCCGACAATATCCTTTAAACACCGTGGCCAGAACTTTTGGTACAGCCTACACAGTAAATTGCTTACAGCTTCGCCATTTTTAAACATAAAAAACCTAGCAATATCTTCTTTTACTGGAAATTAAATGGGCTTTCAGAAGATAAAGCTTCCAAAAATTTTCGATAGGTTTTGAAGTCCATAGTTTTCTAAAAAAACCTCGAGTTTTTCAGAAATCGTATCTCAGGTACAACAAAAGCAACAATGGGCTGAAAGTCGATTCATATAAATTCGAGCGTACTGATTCCGAATATCACCATAAGAGTTTCCAAAAGTAGAATTAAAGACCTGAAAATTACATTTCAAAATGAACACGAACGTCAAAAAAACCTGAAGAATCTCTTCTAAGATGGCTTTAGTTGTCTTCTAGAAATGCACTAAAAATTTCAACAACATTGTTCTTGGTAGATTGATTTGCATTGAATCCAGCACACTAACGGGTTTTACAATGGAGCTTTGTCTTCATAGTGAAACACACGTTGCAACATAACTCGTTTTGGCGTATTCGCTCATTTTGAAATCGATGCAATAGACAATTGAAGATAACTAGAGATGTCGTTCTTGTGCAATTTCACTTATAAAAGAATGTTCTTACCACAGTGGAAGTTTTGCTGTGATGTGAATATTCTTTGCTTAGAAGACCGCAGTACAATTTTTGCCTTGGAACCTGAAAAATCGAAATGTCCGAGCATTCACTGAAAACAAAAAAGGTGTTAGACGAATCCTTTAGGGTTTCGTCGAAGTTTAACATATTCCAAAGGTTACCGTGCAATTATACGAAATCCATAAAAGGTTTAGTAATATGCGAGGTTTTGTATAAAACCTTTACAACTTCCGAAAACTAAGAAAAGGTTTTGTGTAGAACCATTTTCATACGTCTCAACCCAAAAAAGTTTCAAAAACAAATCCTTTACGGGTGTTGAAGCTTAGAAGAGTTTCTTAAAAAACATTTTGAGAAAGTTGGAGCAAAAAAGGGTATTGTATCAAACTCTTTATAAGTTTTAGAACTTAAAAAGATTTCGTATGACACTCTTCATAAAAGCTAAAGCTTAAAGAGGTTTCGTATAAAGCCCTCGATACCTTTTGGAACTTAAATAGGTTTCGTATGGTACCTTTTCGATATTTCCGTCACGAGAAGGTTTCGTATAAAACCTTTTAGAAGTATCGTCGTCAAAAAGTTTCGTGCTATATTATATATTTTTTCTGTGCATCTATGCTATCGATCGATGTTGAATAATTGGAAACCCATCTGATCTACATTCTTCCATCCATTTGCCGATTTATCCTTCATCATCCAATCCAGCTTCGATCTGTTCGTCGCCGTTTTTTGAACTCAAACATTTTCATACCGAATTTCTTCCAGAAAAAATACGAAAAGTCTTTACTAAAGCTTCAATGACTTTACCAACATAGCTTGTGAAAACATACTATCTATTCATTAAGCATTTTTTCGTGTATCTATTTCATGAATGACTATACTTATAAGTTTTATAGTAGGTTACAGAGTGGCTATGGTTTTAAAACAGTGATGATCCGAGTCATCGGATTTCGTCATTTAATACAATAATTATCTGATAGACTGACTTCTTCTCTTAATATGATTCATTCCGTGTGTCGCTTTACCTAGATGGAGCTCATATTAGTTTAAAACAATACCACATGTCTCAGTTTGCATTTAACTGAGACACTGTAAAGATAAATAGGAACATACATAGATATCGGAGTATAAACACAGATATCAGAGATGCATATAAACTTAAGCCTTTCTGAATACATACTGAGTGCTTGAAAATATGAATGAAGTTAATAATATAATTAGTTGATTATGGGCGAAACCAGCCAGCGGTCAATCATCTATGAGGAAGATTTTGGTTACCGAATAATAAAGAATAGGGTATCTATGATCGAAAGTATACTTTCAACAGATTATTAAATATATTGAATGCTATGAGATGTATTTTATAGGAATGATAGAAATTCCTTTTTCATCCATTATATCTAAAAGAGAGATTAATTCACTAATTTTATCAAAAAGTATAACTTTACACCTTATTAAATTTCATTTTTGTCCAAAAAATAGATAGCAGTTCTGTTATAATTTCTGTTGTAAGAGTCAGACTTCATTGCTTAAATAATAAAACTCTCTTGATGCTACTTATGGATTAGAGAAAAGACGGGTTTTTATTATGACCATTTAAAATTTCCTATTGCTAAACCTTCCCATTAGAATGTGAAAAAAAGATGAAATTCTATAACGGACAGTATTTTTTATTTTCTGTTCGATACAGACACTCATGTGAAGAAATGACCTAATGCTTCGAAAGCTTATTCAAAGCTGAATAATTTTTACACTGAGTATTTATTTCTTTCTTGCTGGGTTTCGTAGTAAAGCGTTAAACTTGCAGTACATCCTAAAAAAGGATTCCATTTTTGAAATTCCGTAGCTGTTGATAGTTTTTCAAATAATTCCGCTCTGATCAAAGAAGAAACAGTGATATTTACCAATAGTAGGTCTAAATAGTCTCTATGTACGATAAAAATTTTTAGAGAGTTTACGTTTATTATCGAAGAGATACAGATGTTGCAATGTGAAATCCTGAAATTGCGTAACGCTGGTCGTGCCCTTATACATATATGTTAGAAATAAATATACGATTTTAGACTTACATAGGTAGAAATTGTTTCGATAATACATGTAAGTGATTAGACTATTGGTCTCGCCTTAACATAACCGTTCTATTAACTCATGTTGCTACTTATAGTTTGTATTGAAGTTGAGAAATTAACTGCACACTTTTCTATAGGTTCAGAATATACTTTAACACTTTGACATTTGTATAACGTGAGATGTAGCACAAAGCAAACAATAAAGATGTCTAATAATAAATCAATCTTGTTCTATTTTCTAATTTCAATTAAATACATATTTCAACCAGTATACTACAATGATAAAATAGGTGCCTGCACTAAACTTTGTCAATCCCATACGAGTGTGCAACTATTCAATTATTTTTTCAAACAATGACGCAAGAGCACTGAACTATTTCTTGAGTAAAATACAAAAGTATTAAAATATTTTACGCATTAACTCTAAGTCAACATTACCAGCTTCGTCAAAGCTAAGAATTTACACAAAGTTATAAGACGTTCGAAACGCATAGAGACATGATAAAAGTTTTAATGCATGATATATAGAAATGACGGATCAGACATAATTATAAGCGATTAAATGTAGATGCGAGAGATAAGACGCAGTTGTAACAAGCTCCATATAGTGTTAAGGGGCTATAAACAGTTTTAAGAAAACAGCCAGAGAAGCAAATGCTACAGACATATATAAGAGTTTAGACAAATATAAACGATCAGATATAGTTTCACAAGAATACATATAGAAAGCAAGGGTGAGCTATCAAACTCAGGAACAATGGATGAAAATCAGTGTTTCAGGCAGAAATAAGGAGTGTATGAGTAGCAATAAGTGGTCAGGTATAGAATAAACGGAAGTAAGGGCTAGCTATAGAATTCAGGGGTCAAGGATAGAGATAGAGGGTTAAGTATAGAATTAAGAAGTTAGGCATAGCATTAAGGGGGTCAGAATAGGAATGAGGGTTAGATATAGAAATAAGAGTTAACAATGAGAACAAGGGTTAGATGTAGAATTAATGGTTAGGGCTAGAGATCAGGTGTTAAGAATAGTAATAAGGGATTAGGTAAGAAATACGGGGTTAAAGATAGGAATTAGGCTTAGGTATAGAATTAAAGAGTTAGGGTAGAAAGAAGAGGTTATGTGTAGAATTAAGGGATTTAGGATAGGAATAGTGGGCTAAGTATTGAATTCAGGAGGTAAGGATAGGAATATGGATTAGGTGTAGAGTTAAGAGATTAGGTATAGGATTAGCGGTAAACGTAACAATAAGAATTAAGTATAGAAACAAGAGGTCCGATAGGTAGATAAGGGCTCAAGTACAGACATAAGAGAATAGAACGTCGTACGAAACCTTTTCTTAGGCTAGCGAAAAATAAGTTTGTACGAAACCTGCAATACGAAACCTTTTTCTCAGCTAAAAAAAGTAGTCGTGTACGAAACCTTTTCCTTACGAAACCTAAAAAGGGTTTCGATTTCGTTACAAAGTGGAAAACCCTTTTTTAGTTTCGTATAAAACCTTTTTTGTTTTCAGTGTTGCTCGGATCTATTGGAATTGATTTATAAAATTAAGAAATACATAGTCTGACTCAGAATTCGATACTTTTTCGACTGAGATAGGTCTCGGAAGATGCGCCAAATATCGGTGTATTGATGAGGTTTTACCGGTGGAAGTAGTTGATTCCCGATTTTATCAGTTCATTAATATGTACACCTTCTATAGGTTTGTTTACAACTATCGAAGCAGAAAATGGACACACCATTAGTTTAACACCACATCATCTAATTGCCGTTTTCAGAAATGGCATTCCAACCTTTGTTCATGCTGATCGAGTTGATTTGAATGATTTCGTTTACTCAAGTGACGGCGTAATCTCCTTAAAAATGAAAGTCAAAGCTATTAAACATGAAATCAAAGTCGGCTACTATTCACCGATTACTGCTGATGGTAGGACTATCTGATGTTTGAGAGTTTTCTAGAATACCGACATTATATCTCCTTGTTTATTTCTAGGTACAATACTTGTCAATAACGTAAGTTTTTTTATGGACTGTTCTGTAGTGCTGCTCTCATGCATGACCATGACTTTTTCTTTTAGATTGTTGCATCCGTCTATGCACGTATCAACAACCATTACGTAGCTCATTTTAGTAATGCTCCAATGAGATGGTATTATCGAATTATGAAATATTTCGAAGTTGATGAACCATTTCAAACAAATGCAAACGGGCAGAAGCATTGGACACATAGCTTATTAATTCAATTAGGAAAAACATTTACACCACAACTCTTTATTTAATCACAAACAAAAGAAGAAAGTTCAGTTTTTTAAACTGATGAACGTTTTCTTATTTGTATTATTCACTTCTAAATAATTTCAACATTTAATAAAGCTTGATAATCACATCCTTAAAAGGACTAAATCACACGCGTTGATGGAGAAAGTCAGAGAACGTTAGGTTTTCAGGCAGGGTGTGGGTGTGGGTGGGTGTGGGGTGTGGGTGTGGTTGTGGGTGTGTGGGTGTGGGTGTGCGGGTGTGGGTGTGGGTGTGGTTGTGGGTGGAGTGTGGGTGAGGGTGTGTGGGTGTGGGGTGTGGGGTATGGGTGTGGTTGTGGGTGGGGTGTGGGTGAGGGTGTGTGGGTGTGGGGTGTGGGGTATGGGTGTGGTTGTGGGTGGGGTGTGGGTGAGGGTGTGTGGATGTGTGGGGTGTGGGTGTAGGTGTAGGATGTGAG